TTCAAGGAGGAGTAAATACTCTCCGTCCACAAATAAATTAAAAAAAAAAGTACTTAGGTATATTTTAAATATATTCGGTAAAACAATCTTCATCTGAAAGAGCTGTTACAAAAATACAGGCTAAATAATATTCCGAAGTTTTCCCACCGAACAAGCATTCTGACATAAGCGATGTAATAAAAATTATATACGCGGCCATTTTGAAATGAAATTGTACTCTGGCCATATGCCAATACAATTATATATCTGGTAAGTGGACTCAGCTATACAACAGAGCTCACGGTAGATTACATTCATGGGGGATTAAGTGTGCAACTTTTGGCTGGCGGTTTCGTTATTTTGAATTTTTGAACGATAAGCTTCAAGGGATATTTTTATTATTATTACCTCTATATGAATAGATTAAAAATAATTAGATTGATATTTCATGCATAATTTTACTCAACTTTCAAAAAGAAGGAGGTTCAAATCGAACATACTTCTACGTGTTGTGTTACACAATATCTAACTCAATAAGATCAGTAAAAGTTAAATTCCAGTTATTATTTAAAAAAAAACAGACAATCTCATCCAAAAATATTACATACTACTACTCTTTTATTATTGTATCGTCTAATCTTATCTATTCATTGTTCAATTCCCATTTCCATAAAGCCACTTTTCAAGTCGTTGTTAGAACATGAGAAACATACTTATACGTGGTAGAGTCATGCTGCAGCCATATTGGTAGTATAGTTGTAGCACGAATGGGTCGGCTCGACCGGGGAAGAACCACGCTCTCACAGAATACCAGCGTAAAATAGCAGCTTAAAACTGCTGTGTTTCGTATGGTGAGTGTAGAGAACCGGAGACCCTTTTTACTAGAAAAGAGGCATTCCATCTTAGTCCTCACGGGTGACAACGCATCTGCATTTTGATTCGCAAGCGAGGATAGATGTAGATGTCTATGGGACACAGCAACCACTTACCATCAGGTGAACTGTGTGCTCGTTTGTCACCCTATCCTATAAAAAAAATTTTTACTAAATATATGACTACATATAAAGTCCTACTGCTGAGAGCTAAACATTGAGCAATTACTACGTCGCGCTGCTTTAGAGCGTGTTGGCGGACTTCTCTCGCGATTATAAGCCAGGCCTTGACTATTATTCCACCTTATGGTAAGTGGAGATTTAGCTAGCCAAAGATAGGTTAAACGCACTGACATTTTAAATGAAAAAAATTCGCAAGCGGCTTATATTAAACTCGCAACGACGAAACGCCATGGTGTTCCACATTAACCAGATTTGGTAATCCCACCAGAACGCTTTAGAGCTCATCAGCGGTCACATTAGCGCCAGTTGCTCCATGACGAGCATCTCGGGACAGAACAACTACCCCCTGCTCCTTAGATATCATAAAATAATAGGTATACAAATAAAATACTTCGTATATTGTTTGATAAATTGAAGAAAATTCTTTTTGGTCGCACTGTTTGTATCTGCCTCAACTTTTATTACACAAAAAGGAAAAATGCGACAAAAGCCGCGAAAAAATTTGTGACACTTATAAACTTATTGCAGTCTCAGTAATAGTAGCACAAAGGTGTTTCAAGTGTTTCCAGTCCGTCTATCCGAATTCTTCGGGTATTAGGATAACATCAGGAGAGGACTGTCAAAACTACTTGTTGCATTTTTTGTTTGATTAAAAATCCCAAAATTTCTATAGCAACTTGATTATGTCTTTACCTAAAAGATGGCAACAAGTTATTGAACAAAATGGCACATATATTATTATAATTAAATGTAAGTAATCATTGAAAAATTCCAAAGAAACTTTATCCCCGACATTATATTATCTTTGTGAAAGAAAGATGCTGGCAAGTTGTTCCACTCTTTTGCTGTACACATTACGAACGATAATCCCATACCATTTGGTTCGAATGCGTGTTATATTGACAATAAAGGGTTGAAGATTGGACGAATATCTGGTTGTCTGATCGTTGAAGGAAAAGGAAAGAAAGAAGGGAATTGAGGCAACCAATTCCTGGGTACACTCAGATCATTAAAAAGCGTCTTAACAGCTTCACATATTTCCGAATGAAAGCTTTGGAAAGATAATCCATCCTAGAGAAGAACGAGCAACCATGCCGAATATATGGGAATAATCCAAGCGGCGTCAGCAATCGCAGAAAGGAGGGTTTGATCCACATACATTCCGATAGCTTGGCAGTACTGCAGTCTCTGAATTGCAATGTTATTAACTCCGGACTAATACTTGAATGCCACCAGCGCTCAAATAAAGTAAGTAGTTTCAATAATATATCCTTTCAATAAAATAAAGGTAATAATATCACATCCAGTGCAATTTTTTTGTTTCATTCATTCTTTACAGGTAATGTCTTCCAAACCGAATTTTGGTCACCGCGGCCGGTCTCAACGAACACTAAAATTTTGCGCAGGACAGGAGTACAGTTCCTAAGAGAATGCGCAAGCACCGGTGTACTCTCCGTTCACTCACTGTCATAATTTGATGGGACGGTAATCCTACAAGACTGAAAAGAGATCCGCGATGACCAACGGTGTTACGTGATTTCCAAGATACTAGGGTGAAACATTGCCAACTTCCTGACTCCCGGCTGCTACGTACTGAGAAATTCTAGGCAGAAAAATCCAATAACTAATTTTGGCTCAACCCGATATTCAAACCTGAGACCTCATGATCAGCTATCGAATAGAATAGAATAGAATAGAATGATTTTTATTCAATATGGATTATTACATAATAGTTATTGAAAGTCATTATTTTATTTACCACTGGTTCGGAAAATACCTCTGTCCTGGGAAGAGCCAGCAAGAATCCCAGCGGGACCTTTTTTAAACATAATTTCACTTAACAATAATTTTGTTTATACAATTTTAAAGAATTATCATAGAACCAGCATGGTGGCGATCACCTTATTCCCAGGGGTTATTTTCATTCATGTATTCCTTGATATTATAATAACCCTTTTTGTACAGTTTTTCTTTAATAAAACTTTTAAACTTGTTTATTGACAAACTTTGAACATATTCTCGGATTTTGTTGTAAAAGCGTATACATTGCCCCATAAATGAATTACTAAAATCGCGTTTACGACCACTAAGATAGTTTAGGCCATAGAAGGTATATCATACTGGACACAGAAAGTTGGGAGCAGAATTTTCCTGATAACAAATCAAAATAATAATTTAAAAAAACCGGCAAACTGCGAATCGTAATCGTGCACCGAGTGTTCCGAACAAATCCGTAGGTATATAAATTTAAAATAATTATAAATAAAATAAGTTTTAAAATTATTAAAAATATTTATTTTATATGATGTAACTAAAAATTTATGCTTTTCGCAATTTTTCCTTTTTTTGTGCTATAATACGTTGCTTCGTACCAAATTTTAATATTCTGAGTTCACGGGAAGTACCCTGAAGTAAATGTCGAAAATTTGCGGCATAAACGGCTGTATCTTTTGATTGGGTTGGCTTAGAAGTTTGCTTTTTTCACAGCTCCAAGAAACAGTAGACTTGAATATTTGATATGAATTTCAGCTTGATACCTCGACGCGTTCCTGAGAAAAAAGCCAAAAATTGCCAACCCGCTTGCAATACGTGGCAACGATGAATAGCCTCCCTATGAGGCCGACTATCGGATAGGAGCATATTCAACATTGAACTTTTGAAGTAATGTAGTGAATATTTAATGAATAACTCATTGCTATTCGTTAATAACAGGCGCTAAACATTTCCTTAAAAAGAAATATGTCTAAGGATTTTTTTTTATAGGATAGGGTGATAAACGAGCACACAGTCCACCTGATGGTAAGTGGTTGCGGAGACCCATAGACATCTACATTTATACTCAATAAAGAATCAAAATGCAAATGCGTCGTCACCTGTGAGGACTAAGATGGAATGCCTCTTTTCCAGTAAAATGGATCTCCGGTTCTCTACACTCACCATATGAAACACAGCAGTGTTAAGCTGCCATTTTACGCTGGTATTCTGTGAAAGCGTGGTCCTTCTCCGAACGAGCCGACCCATTCGTACTACAACTATACTACTAATGTAGCTGCAGCATGGCTTTACCAAGTATATCGCATTTTATACGATATTAGTCTTTTGTGCTACCATAGGAAGTACCAGGTTTTAAAAACTATCCATGAGCAATAGTAGCAAATATTGCTGTGTTTCTTATGGTAAGATTCCGTCTTTGTAGGGATCTCACTCTTACCTATTTCTGCTGCCAAATAGTAGTGTTTGCACTGCTGGGTTCCATTCTGAAGGGTAGAGGCAGTATAGAGCCTTTTTTGTTTGATGGTAGCTGTAGGTGTCTTGGTTACACATGACTTTAGTTTTGTCCATTTTAATCTTAAGGCGTATCAGTTGGGAGACACTACAGAGGTCAATGATTATAGTGTTAAGGTTTTCTAGCAATTCTGCTATAAGGACTATATTTTCGACAAACAAAAGGAGAGTGACGTTGTTTATTTTGTATTGTTTGGATGCGGCAATCAAACACGGGAGTTGAGACAAGACTGTCTTTATTATATACCTCCATGCAAATATTATAATTTATTTTCAAGATACCTACAATCCCCTTCTTAAGAAACTATAAAGGGTCGAGATTTAATACTAATCTTTCATAAAACCACAATTAATAATCTTAATATAATAAAAACATTTCATGATTAAAAGTATGAAAATTAACAATTTGATTTATAATAATACATGCATTTATTCCTATAATTATAACGTGTAACTTGATCATATTAACATAATTTATCAATCTGTAATTTATATAATATTTATTAAAAACAAAATCCAAATAACTTGTTGCTTTCGATTTATTGTTATTGATAAATAATAATTTATATATGTAATTAATAATTAAAATCAATCCAATAATTAAATAAAATAAAATAAAGTTTTTTGCCTCACATAGCTCACATTTCTGTGGTGCGGAGAAGCCCCATCGATCAGGAGGTCTCACTTCCCTGCCGGTAAGTGTACGATAAAAACAGTTGATCTATCAGATTGTTGCAAGTGGGGCGCTCGCAGCTGAGTACTGGAGCCGTGCGGGGAGGGCGCGTGCGCGGAGGTTTTGTTATTGTTTACAGCGATATCATCGTACTGTGTGCGTAGATTAGATGATTCATCGATTCTTTGGTTCGAATCAACTATGATATGCTTCCTATTTCGTCTTAATACACCACCCGTTGCCATGCATATTAAATATGACCTAGGACCTACAATACTTTTAATAAAACCTGGTACCCATGTTTTGTTAATTCGAACTTTAATTTTTTGTCCAATTATTAGTGTTTTCAATTTTCTAGCACCTTTATCGTAATACATTTTTTGCTTTTGTTGAAGGCGTTTTAATTTATTTATTACGTCCGTATTAATTTTTGGTAACAATAAATTTGGATAACACGGAACTATACTGCGGAGTTTTCTATTATATAACAACTCCGCTGGACTAGCGAGCTCCTTACTGATTGGTGTATTTAGATATTCAAGGAGCGCTAATGGGAACTCCATCTGATCATAAGTCGTTTTTCTCATCATATTTTTAATTGTTTGTATGGCACGCTCGACCTGACCGTTAGATTGAGGATATCTCGGCGATGACGTCACATGCTGGAATTTCCAATCATGTGAGAATTCACGAAAAGTGTTAGATGCAAACTCAGGGCCATTATCGGTCATAACTATTTCGGGTATACCGTGTCTACTAAAAACTTGTTTAATTTTTTTAACAATTAATTCTGACTTTAAGCAATTAATTTTTATTAATTCTACAAATTTACTATAGTAGTCTGTTATGAGGACAAACGATTTTGTTCCGAAGTTAAAAACGTCTATTCCTACTTTAGACCATGCCCTATTTGGTACTTCATGTTGCATTAACGGTTCCTTACAGTTCTGTTTTTTATAAGTTAGACAAGCTTGACAATGTGACCGATAATCTTCAAGTTGAGTATTCATATTAGGCCAGTACGTAATTTCTCGAGCTCTGAGTTTACGTTTTCCCTAGATGGCCCAAATGAATCTTTTTAATCATTTCGTATCTCATGCATTTAGGTATTATTACCCTGCTACCCCTCCATACTATACCAAAGTTAACTGATAATTCATCCCTACTGTCCCAAAAGGGCTTTATTATGTCTTTTATTTTACTTTTATGACAGGGCCAACCTCGTTTTATTATTTTAATAAGTTCTTGCATTTCTATATCTTCCTGGGTACATTTCTGTATAGATAAGAAGTGCGAGTCCGTCAACGGATTGCTTGCGGTGAGCGCGCACACCTGCGCTTGCGCGTCGAGATGATCGCGCGGCAGTGTCGACTCATGCTTGTCCGGTGCGACTGCCCTCGACAGTGTGTCTGCGACGTAAAGATAGCGACCCCGCTTATAAACCAACTTGAATTAATACGGCTGGAGGCGTAAAAGCATACGTTGCAACCTTGCAAGAGCGCTTGCTTACGGTTTATTAATAATACTGACTAACGGTTTATGGTCTGTTTCTATAGTAACGTCCGTGCGGCCGTAAATATACGTGTAAAACTTTTTCAATTTGCGCGTATGACTGCTCCGTTTTAGTTAGTGATTTAGAAGCATAACACACCGGTAACTCGTATTGCATCAAACAGGCTCCCAATTCATTTTTACTTGCATCCACTGAAATTTTTACTGGTTTCTGTAAGCTATAATATTTTAAAAGCGGAGGTTTACTTAGACTTTCCTTTATTTCTTTAAAACATTGATCGTGATTACTATCCCAATGCCATGCTCCTTCTTTCTTTAACAGTTCACGCAACACAGACGTTTTTTCCGAAAAATTCGGTATGAATTTACTCACATACGTAACTAAACCTAAGAACCGTTCGACGTCTTTTACCGTGGTTGGTTTAGGCATATTTCTTATAGCTAGTATGTGCGAATTATCCGGATATGTCCCATCCTTTGTTATTTTATGGCCCAAATATGTGAGTTCCGTTAACCCAATTTTACATTTTTTTAAATTTAATTTAATATTAATTTCCCGACACCTTTGTAAAACCGACCGAAGGCTCTCATCGTGTGTTTTTTTAGAATTTGCATAAATTAACAAATCGTCTACAAATAAAATAACTCCTTCGATATCATCAAAATGCTCATAAAATTTTTTGTGGAAAATTTCTGATGCCGACGATATGCCATATGGCATGCGCAAAAACTTGAATCGACCAAATATTGTACTGAATGTACAAAGGTCTGTACTCGACTCATGAAGCTTGAATTGCCAAAATCCTTGCTTGGCATCGAGAGTACTAAAATATTTTTCCCCTGATAAATTGGCAGTTATTCCTTGCAGAGTAGGAAGCTTAAAATATTCGCGCCTAATTGCCATATTAAGGTCCCTAGGATCAAGATAGATTCGAAGGTCCCCATTAGGCTTCTTAACAACAGTCATACTGTTGACCCAGTCGGTGGGTCCCTCTACTTTTGCAATGATGCCCTCTTTTTGCATTTCCATTAATTTATTTTTAATTTTGTCTTTAAGGGCTAACGGTAGTTTTCTCGGAGCATGTATTACGGGTTTAATATCATGTCTCACCTGAATTTTGTAATTTCCTGGCAAACATCCCATACCTACCAATACGTCGGAAAATTCATTTATTATTTCATTTTCTTTTTTCTCCCTAATAGAAAAAACTCTCTTTAGTAACTTTCATTCCTCACACGAGGTTCTGCCTAAAATAGGAGGTGATTCTACATCAACAACAATGAATTTTGATATATAAACATCATTTTTATAATTAACTTTTAAGTGACATTTACCAATAACTTCAATATTACTGCCTCAATAACCTTGTAATTTTATTGAGGTACATGCTAACTCTGATTCAGTAATATTAATTTTTTGAATATACTTCTTAGGCAAAACGTGCACATCGGCCCCATTATCCAGCTTGAACATTAGAAAATTATTATTTATCTTTAACTTCACCAACCGGTCCTTATCGTAATTGATATTTACCTGATCGGTGGAGTCCTCCTTTACTTCATAAACTCTGCACATCCGCGAATAATGATTCACGCGATGACATTTACAGCACTGCTGACCATAGGTGGGACAACTGTATTTCTCGTGTAACAAACCGCAGTTCCAACAACTGTGATCGTACCTGGACGGGACGGTACGATACACTTGCGCGTGCCCACCTTCATCCCGAGGGTGGGTTGAGGACTTAGAGGATCGCGGCATCCGCACACCTCCGCTGCCGGCGCCACGCGCTCGCTGCGGGCGCTGGTGGTGCAGGGGCGTAACACGTTGACGGTTCACCCAATTAATTTCTGCGTCACGTTCATCTTGCTCGGAATTACGTTTTATTTCATGCACGTGATGGTCCGACTTCTCTGACTTTATATTGATGGCCTGGGCTCGCGACATTTCGGCTACATTGCAAATTTCCACTGCTTTCTTTAACGTTAAGTCAGGCTCCCTTAACAGCCTTTCTCTCATACATCCATCTCGTATACCACATATGAGTCTATATCGTACCAAATCTTTACATAAATCTTTAAATTCGCATCTTGCCGCCATCTTGTTTAATTCGAAAACATATTGCTCGGTTGTCTCCATCTCCCGTTAACCACGAGTGAAAATTATGTGTCGTGTCATCGTCACATTCTTTTGTGGAAGAAAAAATGTATCAAATTTTTAAAATACTTCATTAATCGATTTAAATTCCTTTTTATCATTTTCCAATAATAGTTGTTCGTACACTTCCTGACATTTGTTTCCGATAATATGTAATAAAATGTTAATTTGTACTTATTCATCCTTTTTTTTATTTCACATGCCTCGTAATATATCAAGAATGCTTTTTTCCATTTTTCCCATTCTTTGCATAAATTTCCCGAAGTCACATTTACTAAATTATTTTCGAAAATAAAAGGTGGCGGTGGTTGTAATACAGATTCCATTATTTGGACGATTGATTCAATTGCAGGTACGTTAGAATCTTCAACTTCTTCCTAAAATTCACTCTCACTTTCACAGTTCATCCAATTCAATGGAAAGTACTTATATATTATATTATTTGTAAAATCTGTGTACCAGCTGCGCCATGTTTATTTTGTATTGTTTGGATGCGGCAATCAAACACGGAAGTTGAGACAAGACTGTCTTTATTATATACCTCCATGCAAATATTATAATTTATTTTCAAGATACCTACAGACGTACTCGCCATTGATGATAATATCGTATCATTTCCAGTCCAGTAGCTTCAAAACTTCTTCCAATGCAGCGGTGCAGAGTTTCGAGTATATAATCTCAAACTAGTTTAATCTCAATTATTTGCTTTTATACAGTAATAAAACAAAATGTACTAAGTTTACAACACCAAATGTAAAACATGTGTAAAATGTAAAACCACAGTGTTTTAAATGGGAAGGAGCTGAGTCTTGTTGAATCTACTATTTTTCGGAATTACAGTTGATGCGAAGCTTCAATGGGGCCCTCATATATTTAAACTAGCAAGAAAACTTAGTTCTGCAGCAGCAGCATATGCTGTAAAAAGATTGGAGGCGTCCCAAGTCTCGCTGAATCTCGAAACTGGCTCAACTGATTCTTATGAATTTTGTGTGTGTATTTGAATGGGTTCCTGGATAGTTCAGATTCACAATCAGCCCCGATAGGTGGAGCTGTTGACGAGTTTCAGAAATCAACCACGCGAATCCGGGGCGGATCGCTAGTTTTGAATAAAAATTATTCTATTCTATTCTATTCCGTGACTAACACCTCTCTGCATTTGTATAGGTTTCGTACTATGGTTATGTACTGAGATTGCCATCGTAGCACTACTGTACAAACACTTCAGCACTTCGATATACCGACAGTCAACATGGCACCGCTGAAGGGGCTATAGCAGCGCCCAAATTTAAACGGAATCAAAGGATTTTTCATCAAATCGAAAAAGTGATAGATTCTATTCTTCGGTTTTCAATGTGCGACTTTGTCTTTTTTATAGTATAAGTGTGGCAAACGAACACACAGTCCACCTGATGGTAAGTGGTTGCTATGGCCCTGAGACATCTGCATCTATCTACGTTTGCAAATTAAGATGCGTCGTCACCTGTGAAACCTAAGATGGAATGCCTCGTTTCCAGTAAAATGGGTCTCCGTTTCTCTACACTCACCATATGAAACACAGCAGTTTTAAGTTGCTATTTAACGCTGGATTCTGCGAGAGCGTGGTCCTACCCCGGTCGAGCAGACCCATTCGTGCTAAAACTATACTATTAATATAGCTGCAGCTAGGTTCTACAACGTATAAAACCAACGATGTTAATAAATATTTTTATAGGTTAAAATGATGGCTAACCTTGGATTATGTTAAGGATTATTATAATAAACTTACCAAACAGACATAACCGATTTTCGCAAATAACTATAAGTATGCCGGAATTGCTACAAGCAACCAATTTTTACAACAATCACATGATGTACCTATATGTATGCGTAAGTCAAATCATGCATGTCAATCAGTCTGACCCGGAAAGATTATTTGAACGCATAAAAATAATTATTATTTTTAGTTAAAACCACACGAAGCAGCGTAGAAATTTCAAAACTAGGCCGCAAGTGGAACGTTAATATCGGCAAATGATCACAAGCACGAGCCGAGTTCTGTCGCTCAAACCAAATGTTTATCATCAGATGTCCGGTCCACGTTTGCCATACACATATTCGCTATTTACAATTTGAGCTAGTTACCCCAAGGCGATAAATACAGAGGCGCTATGAGATTATATTGGCATGAGGCCAATTTTAATGTAAGCTAAAGTGTTGCATACATCTAGTGAAGATACGGTCGTAAAACTCAAAAAATACGGCACTACCGCTTCCATTTCTCCGTTATGAATACGATTATCTAAAGAAGAAAAAAGAAACGTATTTTTAGCCGATTACAAAAAAGGTATGCAGTTAGAATGA